AAGATATTCTTTTACCTCCTAAATCAGAGATTCTGAATCTTTGGTTTTGTCTCCACACTGTTCACATGCACGGAATACTTCCATTGTCTATCCATCCGTTAGCTAGCCATCGGTGCAACAAGTATTAGTTGTTTTCAATGTCTCATGCACTAGGAATATAGCCGAGAACAAGACAATCATGGTCTTTGTTTGCATGGAGCTTAGAGTCTACTGGGGGACATTAAAGAAAAATAAATTAATGAGATAGTTACACATTGAGATCTTTTCATTATGCAGATCTAGCTCTGTCCCTCCCTGTGTAAAAAGCTTCAGTGGCTTTATATCACTTCTGAATAAAGTGTAAGACCCTTTTACATGACATGTGAGGCTCTGGGATCTGGCCTCTGTCTGCCTTTCTAAGCTCATCTCTCCTCCCTCCCTGCTTCCATTTTATTGTCATTTAACACTGAACTGTATGTGGTTCCCTGTACTTTTCTCATTTGCCTTTGTACCCCTGCAAATGCTGCCCTTCTACCTGAAATGTTCTTCTTATTTGCTTGCTTAACTAGTTTTCATCCTTTAAAAGCAGCTAATGTTACCACTTTGTCTGAGGAACATTCCCTGATACTCCACCTTTACCCCCTAAGTTTAGTTAGATACCTTCCCTTAGTACTCTCATGATGTCCTGTCCTCATTTCTTATCCCTGGACTTGGGTATTATCTTACAGTTGCCTGTGTCTGCATCTTCATTATATTGGGAGCTTCTTAAGGATAGGATATTTTTATTTTTATATCTTAGAACAGTGCTTGGCACATGATTGTTATGCCGTCATTTACATCAGACAAATGAGCTACTGACTTGCTAGCAGTCCATTATCTTATTAGACTAAACACAAGTCTAAGGCAGTATAGTAGAGATGAAGAGAAGAAGCTAGTTTCAAGAAATCTTTATAAGGTAGAATCAAAATTGAGTAGCAGATTAGATATGGGAAGAAAGTTTCTAAGCTAGGGAAGCTAACTGCTGGTCATGTCATTACATGAGATAGGTATTCCAAGGGGGAAACAGGTAAGGAGTCATGATGAACTCAGTTTGGGGTATGGTAGGTTTATTTATTTTATAAAAAGATTTTATTCATTTGAGACAGAGAGATAGAGCACGAGCAGGGAGAGAGGCAGAGGGAGAGGGAGAAGCAGACTACCCGCTGGGTCGGAAGCTTGATGTGGGGCTCGATCCCAGGACCCCGAGACCTTGACCTGAGCCAAAGGCAGACACTTAACCATCTGAGCCACGCAGGTGTCCCAGGGGTATGCTAGGTTTAAAAAGGGTTTGGAGTCTATCCAGAAACACATTGAGAAACACAGAAAGAAACAGATAAGACACAGTTAAAAATATGGATACAGAGCTTGGGATTGGTCGGAACACAGAACCATAGATTTGGAGTTATCTATCTGTTAATGTATTTGAAACTGTTGGAGTGGATTTTTACCCAAGAAAATTGAATGATAAGCATTTTGGAATCGTTTTATTGAAGAGGTGACATTTGAACTAATGTGTTTTAGAAAGCATAGAAGGGCATAGTGAATAGAGAAAATTATTTTGTTTCCTTCAATGATTGGGGATCTTCTAATTTTCTTAATTAATGTTTTTTTCTTTTATTATTTCATATGATTGCTGCATTTCTTATCATACAGTTAGTTGGGATATTCTGAAAATCATAGACATTGGATACTTGTTATAATGTTATATTTCTCTTCTGGGCCAAATTCCAGATAAAGAGTTTTCATCTTGCTGAGCATTTTCTTCCTTATCATTTTGCTGTATATGTCCTCATGTCATTGAACCAAGAATTGAATAACTTGTGATTTTTGATTTGGAAAACTCACCTCTAGAAATGTTCTGTCTGGCCTCAGTAATTCTTATGATCAGCCTGGTCCTTGTGTCTCTGTAATTGAGAACTCCTATCATGTTCCTCCTCAGTTTACTATTTATGAAGCTCAGCAAGGCCCTCAACTAAATCCAGAATATTGTTAATCTTTAATGGCTTCCTCAGGTTTATGTGGAAGGGTGTTTTAATGTCTCTGGCAGTACTGTTTCATTGTGCTGTTTTCCATTACTTAAGTGTCATCTAATTTTTTATATTAATCTTTTAATACAAAGTCTAAGTCTTGGTCCCAAATTAATATTCCTTTCTTCATTTTTCTCCTAATTAGGCCTAATATAGGATAGTAAGTCAAGTATCTGGGGGGAAAACAAACCTTATTCCTTACTTAAACATGCGTTGGTTTGAACAGCCTTGCTCAGGCCTAGAGCCTTAGTACTTCAGAGTGAGACTATCAGGTGAGTTGTTACCATCACCTACCAGATTGGGCATATGTGACCATCACATCAATTTCTGCAGAAATCACCTTTTTTTTTTTTTTGTAGCAATAGCTCTTGACTTTTCTCTACCTAGCACAGCCTAAAACTACAACAGTAACAGTGGCATGCTCGACAATGATTTTTCTCCGGGATTTGGGAGTTTATCAGAATCTCCAGGGGTACTTAAAATTTGAAAAAGTCCCCCAGGTGTGATTCTGATTTGCTCCCTCTTCCTCCTCCTTCTCCTCCTCCTCCTCCTCCTCTGAGAATCACTGTTTCATCTAGAAGCTTCAGCATAAGTAGGCACATTTATTGGTGTATTGACCTATATACTCCCTAATCCTCCTACACCCTTACTTCCCTTTTGAGTGGTACCAGTAGTTTTTTCTAATACCATAACTTCTGAAACCAGTTTCTACCTGTCACCAAGGGTGTAGCTACCACCAAAGCAGCCCTGTTAGTGTTTGGAAGCCTACAAAACAAGGTCTCCAGTAGCTTGAGGGCCAGGTTTAATGGTGTGGTTTATTTAAATGGGAGTCCTTTGCGAAGACTTAGACTAAGAGTCCAGGATTTATACTAACACCACTCCCCGCCCCACCAATTTTATTCCAACATTTTATGATGAAAATTTCAAATCTACACCAATGTTGAAAGAATTCCAGGATGAATTTTTGTATATCCACAACCCAGATTCAACAATTAACATCTTAATATATTACTTGCTTAATCATGTTTCTACCCTATTTATTCCTCTATCCATCTGTTCACCTTTCTTAAGAATTTCACAGTAAATTCCAGATATCAATACAATTTCCCCTAAATACCTTGGCATTCCTATCATTAAGAGTTTAATATTTATTTATAGCCTTTCCTTTTGAAGTAAAGTTTACATACAGTGAAGTGCCCAAATCTTAAGTGCTCAGTAGCTGAGTTTTGATAAATGATAAATCTGAATAACCCAAATCCCTATCAAGATATAGATTATAACACCCTCTTTTTTTCTGCCCAGATTATTCCCTCTTGACTTCTATAGTTTCTGACTTAAAGGTAAGAAAAAGGCTTGTCAGTGCTTCCAGGACAAATAGGGATCATTGTTTAATGATGGATCAGCAGATTTCTCTTCTCCATTGCCTAAAGTACCTTGTGTTTTAAATTGTATGTGAATGTATTAAAACAGGATACTGAGTAAGTAACTTATCTTTTCAGTTTTTAAATAATTATTTTGGAAAATACTATAGGTATAAATACCTTATATCTGTTAAGTATTTTATAAGGCAAAAGCTCTAGTTTAATGAAATGTGAGGACATATGCATAGAAACAACTGGGGAAGAGAAAGGAATTGGAGGTGAGATGGGAAAGAAATCACATAAATAATAATGTAATATAGCATGTATTAATATGTGGCTAGTTGGTTAAAATATGTATTATGTATATCTAACATCATGAGGTATCACAGTCCTGACAACAGTGGCATGTCATTTATTCAAGAATAAACATATCATAATCTGCCTTTAGGAAATACACATTAAATTTCTCTTACTGTCAGTCTTGGGTGTTCATCATTTTGTTTTATGCCTGGTAAATATCTCTTAATTGGCTTATTTTTAGAGTGATGTAGCATATTTTAATTTATATCCGTATATTTAAAATATGGTGTAAGTTTGAAATTATTTACTTGCATTTTATGAGGAGTAACATACAAATGTATTTCTAATAAAATAATTCTGATCCCAAAAGGAGAAGATGTGACAAAAGTAAATTGTGATATTTTCATAATAAAAAGCCATGCAGCCATTTGCATATCATTCCTGAAATATTACATACTGGCTTTGTCAGTACTGGTAAGTCCATTTCAAGGATGTTGCCCTTAGTCCATTAGTTTGGATAATGAGCCTATAAAGTACATTTATAACTTGTGGCACTGCAAGGAGATGGATTCTAATTTTCATCCTTTTATCTAGACACATTGAAAGAAGGTCAATGGAGGGTTCTATATGATTCATTGTCCCAACACATATCACGTGACAGAGACCTGATAATGTCCATGCATAAGTGTTTTCCTTATTTAGAAATAGCACTTGAAAGAAATCTTTTTTTGATCATCCTTTGAAGTAGAAACATATTAAAAGAAGCTTTATCCCTCTTTTTTTGTTTATTTAAAGCGTTATCACATGTGTGACCAGATAGCTATTCTTGAACAAAAGAGAAAGCAACACTTAACAAAAATAAAAAGCCTTTAGTGACTTTTACAGACTGTGAATGATATAACAAGATATTTAATCAACTTTTCTCTCCTTTTCTTAGATCTGTTAAGGGGACAAAAGACTTTTCTAAACAAAAGAAAAGCTTCTTATATTCCTAAACATTAGAAAGCTTATGCTTATACTGTAATACTTACACTAACATTATTCTTATTAATAGTATTCAAAATAAATATTTAAATTCTATTCTATGTTTATAGTTTAAAGATTTCAAAGAAGCAACAAGAATATATATTCTGTAATTTAGTGTCAGTTTTATGTCAAAATGTGAAATTGTATACTGTTTTAAATTGTCTTCTAAGAAATTGGTTTCAGATTCAAAATTGTAGCTGATTATGTTTATTTTTCAGTTGTGTAATCATTAATGAGAACTTTTTTGCTATGTTTATTTTCTTTGTAGATGTAAAGCAATCATAGATCAGTTTGGTCAGAGAATAATCTCTAAGCATTTCCTTGTGGAGGACAGTTACTTTTCTGAGAACACATGCTCACATGTACAATACCGGTAAGGCACCCCTCCACCCACTGTCTAAGGGAAGGTGAAACATTGGAAAATTTATCTGTGTGATTATATTGACACTTCTCTATGACTGTGTTCTTCAAGTTAGATGCAAATGTGTACCAAACCAAAGATATATCCAATATATCCACTGAGTCCGGTTGTAGGGGAGTCCAGTCTAATTTTGACTCCTTTGTATCAGCTGGGGTTGGTCTGCATGTCACATATCCTTTCCTTTTTTTTAATTAAGATTTTATTTATTTATTTGAGAGAGAGAGCACGAGCAGGGTGGGGGCAGAGGGAGAGGGAGAAGCAGACTCCCCGCCGTGTAGGGAGCCCCATGCAAGATCATGACCTGAGCTGAAGGCAGACTCTTAACCAACTGAGCCACCCAGATGCCCCCACAATATTCTCCCTTCAGTGAGCCAAGAAAAGATTAAAGCAGAGTTTGACTTGGCTTGAGGAGGCAACACTTTTATCATGACTTAAATCTTTGAAATATGGTAGTTATATAACTATAAATGAAACTTATTTGTGGAATCTGAATCACTGATTAACTGTTCTGTGCATTACAGGCAGATCTCCAGGTCAGTCCTGATTACAGATAGATCTGTACTAAAAATGGATTCAGATCAACAGGTAATTTTAGTCCTGTACTTTTTAATAAGTGTTGCTAACCTAATCTACATGGTATTATGTATAAATTAATATTGGTGAAATAAAATGTATTAAGCCATATGTGCTAATGTATTTAATGCATTTTTTAAAAAATACATAATGTCAGTTCTGTAATAATCTTGGTTTCTTAAAGATTTCCTTCCAGCAGAACAAATAATTACATCTTATATAATATTTTTATTCTATGGAAATTGGACTAAATCCTAGTTTTTGACAGTTATTCTATGAAATTGAAAATATATTGTTATGGGGAAAAAGAATCCCCAGGGAATACATTTAAAACTCTTGGAGGAAAGGCTTTATGGTAACCAACCCTAGAACAGTGGTGGTAAGCTTACCATTAGGCCTGGTGTGAATGAGTACTGCACACATTTCTGTTTCTAATGTTTCCTCATCACCATTGTTCCTTTCAGTACTCTCTTCCTTCTCCTCACTGCCAATTCTATAGGAATGTCTTTATGCCTATGGTTTTTCCTCAGTCTGAACTCTTAAATTCCAAGAAGTATGCCCCTTCTTCTGATTACACAGTGACTGAGAAAATCAGTTTACTTAGTATGACTCTCAGACCTTTTCTATATGCTACTGCTAAAAATAGGTTCCAAACATTCCTTAAGTTAGAAGCTTTCTGATATATAAAACAAATGTTTGCTATGCATATGAGCATAAATACTTTAATTAATAAATACTGAATGATTATTCAGTAAACAATGAGTGTCTTTTACATGCCATCCAGTGTGCTGAGATCTGAAGACAGTGCTAACCATGATAGCATCTCTGCCCTTATAGCTTGCAGTCTGGAAGATACAGATATAGACAGATAAATAGTAGCTATTTAAGTTAAGCATGACAAGTGTGAGCAAGGACTGGTACAGCAGCTATTGTAATGCTCATCACACTGTCCTATAATTACCAGTTAACTTGTCTGTATCTTCCAGTAAACTATAAGCTTTGTGAGTGTGTTGAAGAATGACAGGGAGGCATTAAAGTAAAGAGAGAAAATAGAGACAATTCTGTAGAAGCTGAGCTGCGAAGAGGAGGAAAGAGGAAGTGATTCCTGAAGAGAGATGTGGAAGTGAAGAGGGCTTTTCTTTTCTTTAAAAGATTGTGTATATTTCAGCTGATGCTGGAGCTAGTAGAGAGGGAAGGAAAGGTTGAAGATACGCTGGAGAAAAGGAAGACAATGCAGCAAGGTCCAGGTAAAGGCTGGGGAGGATGGGATTCAGAGAACAGGTAAAAAGCATTGCCCTTAGATGGATGTGAGGCATCTTGAAATAAGAGGGTGAATGCAGGACTGTTTGTAGGTCTGGGAGTTCCCATCTGATAGGATCCATTTACTTTTTTTTTTTTTTAAGATTTTATTTATTTATTTGAGAGTGAGCGAGAGAGAGAGCATGAGCAGGGGAGGGGCAGAGGGAGAGGCAGAAGCAGACTACCTGCTGAGCAGGGAGCCTGACTCAGGGCTCCGTCCCAAGACCCTGGGATCAGGGCCCGAGCCAAAGGCAGACACTTAACTGACTGAGCCACCCTGGAGCCCCTCCATTTACTCTTTAAATTACAAAGTCAGGTCATCTCCTGACAATGAGGGTATAAGAGTGCTTAACAGGTCAAAGCTCAAGGAAGGATATACAGTAATAACTGTGAGGAGTTGGAGAATGACCTATCTCATGGTCAGATGGCTGCACAGCATCAATGGCCCAGTTGAGTCTGGAGGTTATGGGTGTACAGTGACATTAATCTGCCCCTATCCTTTCAGCTCTTCCATTCTCTTACCCTCACCCAGTCTGCTCATTGACCTGTTAAGAGACCTACAGTTCCTTGTCCCCTCTTTTTCCTCCCAGTTTACCAGCTTCCTTCTGCCCTCTTCCTTTTCCATGTCCTAGACCCCATGGTTTATCTTTTGAACTGCCCTTCCCCCAATACTTTCAATTCCCATGTAGCCACGCTCTACTGCACCCACAGAGGAAAATCCTGTCCCTGGATGAGGCTATAATCTACATCTGGATTACAGAGGGATACTTGAGAAAACCACACAACCAGACAGATTGGCACAGCCACAGAGTTGGGGTTGCCAACCTCATTCATCTGGACCCTCTGCCTACTACCAGTTAGTTTTTCCACTGGCCTCAGATAGCTCCCTCTCCCTTTCCCCTCATTGCCTCATCCAAATCTTTACTATTTTACCCACCCTTCTCTCGCTTAGCTCTTTCACCTCACCCCCTGCTTCACCAAGAAAAGCAAGGCCACCTACTAAGCACAGTGACCCTGGAGCCCCTACCCCAGTACTCACAACTAATGCACAAGTACAGAGACTAAGGCCAGCAGCCCTTTTCACAAATGCTATCGGCTCTCGTGCACGTACGTATGTACGTACGTACACACACACACACACCCCACCCCCCCACCCTGTATGCTTGCGCTCTCTCCTGTGTCTTCAGGCTTTCCCTGCTATTGGCACCTTCCCCTCAAACCTATACACATGTACTAGCATTTTCTGTTCCAAAACTAAAAATTAAAAAGACAAAAACAAGAAACAAAAAAAATTCTCCTTTGACTTTGCCCCATCTCTAAATGTATCCCATCGCTCACCTGTTCTTGTCAGCATTTTTAAGACAGTATCTATACTTGCTGCCTCCATCTCCTTACCTCTCATTCATTTCTAGACCCAGCCTCTATCTCCACATTTCTACCACAATTTTTCTTGCTAAGTTTATTAATAACTTTATAATGGTCAGGACCACAGGACATTTTTTTGGTTTTTGTCTTTTTTGGTACATTTAGCAATGTTGATTATTCCGTTTTTTGACTTCCATGACCCTGCTCTCCTGGTTTTCCTCATAACTCTGAATATCCCCTCTCTGCTTCTTTTGTGGGCTCTGTCCTCTTAAATGTTGGGCCTCCTCAGGGTTCTTGTTTCAGCCCACATTATCTCTTGTTCTGTGCACACTTGCTGCTTGATTCCATATACTCTCATGGTTCTAACTCTGCATAAATGTTGGTGACAGCCATTTCTGTATCTCTCAGGAATGTTGGCCAAACTTCCTGCTGGACATCTATCTCAAAGGCCCCTCAAACTGAACATACTCTGAGCTGAACTCACCATCTTCCCTCTCAAAACTACTCATCCAGTGCTCCCTACCTTGATGAAAAGCATTGACATCCTTCCAACTAACAACAACTTCCTTCCATCTCTGGTATCTCCTGAGCCTCCAGGTCCTCTCATTGTACTTTCTAGAAGTTGCTACAATCTGCTTTTCCTCTCAGTCCTTATTCTCACTGCTCTGGTTTTGGACCTCATTATTTCTGCCTTCTAACTTGTTCTGCCTTTCATCTTGTCTCCTTCAGATCCATCCTCCACAGAGCTATCAGAGTGATCAGTCTAAAATATACATTTGGTATGCTTTTCTTTGTTTCCTGCATGGGTTTTTCCTCTTTTTAAATTTTTGAAGCATATATAATGAGATTTAAAAAGAGGAAAGAATAGGTATAAGTTTAGATAAATTTTATGAAAGTGGTATTAGAGGATTGAGGAAATTCCCTTTTGATGGCTTTTATTAATCTCTATGAGATTTAAGACAGTACCTTCTCAGTTCAGGACACAGAAGGTACTGGGGTAGGGGATTACTGACTGTATTTAAATTTTTAAAAATTAGACATGATGGTTGTAGGAATCAAAAGAAATACAGGCATACCTCAGAGATATTGTGAGTAGTTCCAGACCACCGCAGTAAAGCGAATGTCACAGTAAAGCAAGTCAAATGATTTTTTTGGTTTCCCAGTGCATATAAAAGTTATGTTTACACTACACTGTAGTTTATTAAGTGTGCAATATAGCATTATGTCTAAAAAAATGTACTTACCTTAATTAAATGCTTTATTTCTAAACACTGCTAACCATCTTCTGAGCTTTCAATGAATTCTAATCTTTTCTGCTGGTGGAGGGTCTTGCCTTGATGTTGATGGCTGCTGACTGATCAGGGTGGTGGTTATTAAAGGGTTGGGTGACTATGACAATTTCTTAAAATAAGACAATAATCTTTTCTGCATCATTTAACTCTTCTTTCATGAATGGTTTCTCTGGCATACAATGCTTTTTGATGGCATTTTACCCACAGGAGAAATTCTTTGAAAATTGGGAGTCAGTCCCATCAAAATCTGTTTTGTTTTATCAGCTAAGTTTATGTCATATCTAAATTCTTGGTTGTCATTTCAACAATCTTCACAGCATCATTGTCAGAAGTAGATTCCATCTCAAGAAACACTTTCTTTGCTCATCCATGAGAAGCAACTCCTCATTTATTAAAGTTTTATCATGAGATTGCAGCCATGTAGTCCTTTCTTCAAGCTTCACTTCTAATTCTAGTTGTCTTGCTATTTCCACCACATCTGCAGTTACTTCCTCCACTGAAGTCTTGAACCCGTCAAGGTCATTCCTGAGGGTTGGAACCAACTTCCTCCAAACTCCTATTAATTTTGATATTTTGACCTCTTCCCATTAATCATGAGTGTTCTCAATGGCATCTAGAATGGTGCATTCTTTGCAGAAGGTTTTCAAATTACTTTGCTCAGATCCATCAGAGGAATCAGAGTTTATGGCAAAGTCAAAATTACTCCTAGATCCATAAACTGCAGAAAGTATGTTGTGTTATCAGGCATGAGAACAACATTAATCTTGTACATCTTCATCAGAACTCTCGGATGACCAGGTTCACTGTCAGTGAGCGTTCATATTTTAAAAGCAATCTTTTCTGAGCAGTAGGTCTCAACAGTGGGCTTAAAATACTCAGTAAACCATGTTGTGTCATCCAGGCTTTGTTGTTCCTTTTACAGAGCACAGGGAGAGTAGATTTAACATAATTCTTAAAGGCCCTAGGATTATTGTAATGGTAAATGAGCCTTGGCTTCAATTTAAAGTCACCAGCTATATTACCCTTTAAAGTCAGCCTGTCCTTTGAAACTTTGAAGCCAGGTCTTGACTTCTCTCTCTCTATGAAAGCCCTAGATGACATCTTCTTCCAATAGAAGACTGTTTGATCTACCTGGAAAATTTGTACTTTACTGTAGCCACCTTCATGAATTATCTTAGCTACATTTTCTGGATAACTTGTTGCAGCTTCTGTATCAGTATTTGCTATTTCACCTTGCACTTCTTTATGGAGATGGCTTCTTTCCTTAAACCTTGTGAACCAACCCTGGCTAAACTTCAAACTTTTTTGTAACTTTCTCACCTCTCTCAGCCTTCATAGAATTAAAAAGAGTTAGGGCCTTGCTCTGGATTAGGTTTTGGCTTAGGGAATGTTTTAGCTGGTTTGATCCAGACCACTGAAACTTTCTCCATGTCAGCAATATGGCTGTTTCCCTTTCTTATCATTCTCATGTTCACTGGAGTAGCACTTTTAATTTCCTTCAAGAAATTTTCCTCTGCATTTACAACTTGGCTAACTGGCACAAGATGCCTGGCTTTTGGCCTGTCTCCGCTTTCAATGCGCCTTTCTCACTAAGCTTAATTATTTCTAGCTTTTGATTTAGAATGAGAAAGGTGTGACTCTTCCTTTCATTTGAGCACTTAGAGGCCATTATAGTGTTATTAATTTGCCTAATTTCAATATCATTGTGTCTCAGGGAATAGTGAGGCCCAAGGAGAGGGTAGAGACTGGGGAATGGTTGGTTGGTGGAACAGTCAGAGCACACAAAACATTTATCAATTAAATTTGCTATTCTATATGGGCACAGTTCATGGAGCCCCTAAACAATTACAATAGTAACATCAAAGATCACTGATCCAGATCACCATAACAAATATAATAATGAAAAAGTTTGAAATACTGTGAGAATTACCGAAATGTGACATAGAGACATGAAGTAAGCAAAATCCTGTTGGAAAAAACCAATAGACTTGCTCAATGCAAGGTTGCCACAAACCTTCATTTGTTTAAAAAAAAAAGTAGTATTTGCAAAGTGCAGTAGAGTGAAGTGCAATAAAATGTGGTATGCCTGAACTTCCATGTTGGCGCAGTCCCTAAGATACCTTTCTGGTTATGCACATGTTTTTAGTTATAATCATTTGATAATTATTGTACAACATTAGATACATGTTTTAGTGGTTCCTCTCTCTTTAAGGTACAATATTTTGTATCATGGATAGCCAGTAGCAAAAGGGAGTTAAGAGGAATATGGAGAACACAGTTTTTGAGACATATTAAACCCCAAAATGGACTTATGAGGAATATGATAGTAGAATAGTCAGGGTTATTAAAAGAATTTCTGTTTTGAAAACTTGTAGGCATTTCCTATGTGGACTATCAATGTGACATCACCAGTCAAAATCTAGGCATTTAGTGCCCACAGATAAAAGTATAAATAGGGCTTTACCTTTTGGCAAGTATTTTGTATATGAGAGGATATAGTTTCCTCAGATTGAAGATTATTGAGAATTCATATTGAAACTTTTGGTTTTATAGAGAAACATTGACCTGATGGTCATTTAAAGTTGTAAGTATAAAGCCAATGTAATATATTAGTAGTGCCTATAGCATATCAGCATACTGCATATCAATAAACGTTACTTAAAAATAATTTTCCACTTTACTCTAAATTCTGGGTTTCTAATTTTATTAATGGAGTCCTTAAATTAATTTGAAGACCTTTATTTTGAAACATTTTGGTATATGTTCAGCTGTACTTTGGTATATGTTGACCAATTACTTTGCTTATTTCAATGTCTTTGGAATTTGTAACATTTTTAAATTTTAGTACTCTATATCTGCTTTTAGCCATTATGAATAATCAAATGATTTAATATGATCTGTTTTCAAATAGTGAAGTGTATATAATTCAGAAATAATAAGTCATAATTGAATCCTTTGAAAATAAGTGAAGAATTAAATATTAAAGATATTTGAAATATTCATTGTCTATGAATTATATGAATGCAATGTATATGATATATAAGTATATGAATAATGCAGAAATTTGATGTTCGGACACATGTTCATGTTACATGTTTCAAATTCTGTTCTAAATTAAACCCTTACAATTTAAATTTTTTCAAACATCAATGGAGTTTGAGAAAAGACACTCAGTTTGAAGGTAAACTGCACTCTAATGATAGAAGAATGAAAATAAGATCTACCAGCTATGTCTAATATTTTGTTTCCACTTTTTAGATTTCCATTTTGACAGTGCCAGGAGAGGAACCAGGAACTTTTGCTGTTCGAGTCATTGAGTTGTGTCCTTCAACAATGACATGCATGAAAGGCACATGTAAGCACAGTAGAATCTAGTCATCCTGTGTACTTGTTGAGGAAGTAAAGGGGGGCAGCCATTGATAAAGTTGTCTGGGTTCTGTTTATATTTTTGCCATATATTTTTTTATTCACACTATTTGTTCACACGCTTTATGTTCATACAGTAAGTCATTTTATACCTTCCCCTTGCCTCTAATCATGTTTGTGGCTAAATCTTCATAGGCACAATTTATAAACCCTCCAGTGAAAGAATTTCTGTGATTTTCCAGTTCTTTCTGTAATTTTACTTAAGCTTATTAGGAATATACTTTCACAAAATTTATTTTCTCTACTGCTAGTTTTCTTCTTTGCTTTTCCTTAGAATTCTTAATCCGGTTTATGAACTTCTACCATATGTAAATCCTCTGTTTTTTATGAGTCTAAAGTTAGGTACTACTTTATGTTCTTTTACCAATATGTATCAAAATTTCTGTCTCTAACACTGTCAGATAACCATGCTTGTAGAATGTATTTCTTAAAGGTGTTTCACTAAGTAGAAATCAGCAAGGATACATTGGATATCATTATGCCTAGACCTAAACTATGTACTGTAGTGATTACAAAAAGCAGAGGGTGGCATGCCTGATTTGAAATGTTCATAATCTTATTGCACATCTAATAGAACAAGACAGTATTAACTGTGTGCAGTGTATTCTGCTAGACATTTCAGGATAGGTAAAGATCAGTATGACATAGGCCTGACCTTAGGGGACTCAATCTACTGGGACAGATAAGACAAACACAAAAGTAGCTGTAAGAGCCAGAATATGAAAGTAGCACAGGATCAGTACCAAAAAACAGTGGACTGTAGATTCATAGGAGGGCAGCAACAATGTCATTAGCTAGATTTTTTAAAATTCTGTAAATTTATATTAAGTTTTATTCAAACTGTTACATGAATTATGAGAAGCAGAAGACTAATCTAGTTTGGCATAGTCAATGAAAACATGACTATGTCTTCAAGTGTAGAACTTCTACTTACTAAAAGATGTCAGAAATGTAGTTAAACAGAGAATTGGAAGCTTGTTGCCAGCAGGAAGAGTGAAGAAAACTCGTCCCTTATTGCTGTAATCCTAAATTTCAGTTTGAAAAGTAGCTCACTGATGGTTTTCTACCTTATAAAGTGATTTGTGAATTAAGTAAATTTTTACCATGACAGTTACCATTATTTTTCCCTATTACCTTAACCGTTTTTTTTCATGTCTTTTTATCTGTGTTAGTATCTTAGATATAAAATCAAACTGCACTCATCTTTGGTTTTCTAAATTACATTTATTTTATGTTAGTGAATATTTTTGTAAACTTTTTTTATAAATTTATTTTTCTGTGTGAAATATTTTTGTATGCCCAGTCTAATAATACATACTCACTATTGACAGTTTGAAAGATATAAAAAAAGTAAAATTACTATAATCCTTCTACCCATAGATGATAAACACTTGGTGTGTGTTTCTTTATCTTGCTTTTTATATGTGTATACATATATATTTCCATAAATATGCAATACTGTTTTATATATTGTTTTATAATCTTTTTAAAAAGACTTAATACAACAAAAATCTTTCTGCATGTCGATGTTTTCAGTGATTGTGGGTATACCATTTTTATTTAATCCCATGCTGTTGAGATAAAGAGTTTTGAAAATTTTTACTACATAGTCTTATAAAAAACAGCCTAATAAATATTTGTGAAATTCCATTATTTTTTAAAAACTTCTTTGGAATTATTGGGTCAACATGTATAGTTTTTTTTTTTATTTTGCAGTTATAGATTCATAGATATTTGCAGAGATAGTACAGAGAAGTCCCATGTACCCTTCATCCAGTCTTTCCAATAGTTATATTTTACCAAATTATAGTACAATGTCAAAACCAGGAGTTTGACATTGTTCTAATGTGCATATGTGATTTTATCACATGTATAGATTCTTATGACCATCACCACAAGGATCCCTTGTATTGCCCATTTATAGCCATAGCTATATCCCTCCCTCCCCACACTAGCTACCTAATCCCTGGCAGCCACTAATCTGTTTTCTATCTCAGTAATTTTGTCATTTTGACAATGTCATATAGAATGAATCTTATAATAGGTAATCTTTTTTCTTTTTTAATTTTTTTCTTTTTTTATTTAAAACAGTAGGTAATCTTTTGAGTTTTTGTTGTTTTTTTCTCAGTATAATTAAGGTTCACCCAACTTGTTGCATGTATCAATTGTACATTCCTGTTTATTGCTGAGTAGTAGTCCATGATAAGCTGTACTTCCTTCTGGCCTCCATGGTTTCTAATGAGAAATCTTCTGTTATTTGAATTGTTTTTCCCCTGTAGGTAATGTGCTCCCCTCCGCCCAGGCTGCTTTCAAGATTTTTCTTAGTCTTTAATTTTGAAGTTTTAATATGATGTGTCTTGACATAGATTTCTTTGGAATTATTCTATTTGACATTTATGTAGCCTCTTGAATTTGCAGGTTTATATCTTTTGCCAAATTCAGGAAATGTTCATCCTTTTTTTCTCTGAATACTTTTCAGCCTTATCCTCTTTCTCCTCTTCTGGGACTCATGTGACATGAATATTACAACTTTCATTATAGTTCCACATGTCTCTGAACCTCTGTTCCTTTTTTTAATTCAAAAGTATTTATTATATGCAAACAAGGAATCATGGAACACTACATCAAAAACTAATGGTGACTAACATAACATAATGAAAAAAAATATTTATTATACCTATTAAGAGGAATACATCATGCTGGGGACAATGGATTAGGCAAAGGAATATAACCAAAGTAGTAACAATAATAAGCTAGTACAGAGAGCAAGAAGAGCCCAAACTATGTGTGTTTCTGCTCATTTTTATGAAGAGCCCAAACTACATGTGTTTCAGTTCGTTTTTATATAGGCTATTTTCTTTCATTTCGTATTGTATCATTTCCATGGTTCTACTTTCAGGGTCACTGATTCTTCCCTTTCTCCATTCCATTCTGTTGAACCCATCTACTGAGGGTTTTTTAAAATTTAATTATTGTATTTTCCAGTTTAAAAATTTCCATTTGGTTGCCCTTTAAATCTCCTATGTGCTGAGGCTTTCTCTTTCTTTCTGGAGACTGTCATTTCATTTGTTTCCAGCAGGTTTATAATTGCTCACTAATACATTTTTATGATGGCTCCATTAAATCTTAACTCCAACAGCTGTGTCATGTTGGCATACGTTGTCTTTTTTCAGTCAAGTTGAGGTTTTCCTATTTCTTGACATAATGAGTAGTTTTGGATTGATACCTGGGCATTTTTATTATTATATAGTGAGACTTGGATCTTATTCTGTTTTAGCAGGCCTCTTCTGATACTGCTCTGGTGGGGAAAGGAGGTGCCATCTTGTTAGCCAGGGAGGTAGCAGTTCCCCACTTGCCCTCTGCCGGCACCTGGAGGTTGGAGAACTTCCTCATTACTGCAGAGTGATTATAGTGTAGGCTGTCTAGTAGGCCTCCACTGATTTCCACCCTGGCTAGGAAGAGCATAGGAGTGCCTTGTTACTGCTCCTCACATGGTCTTCATTGACAGGATGGGAGAAGGGTATGGTTTCATTACTCAGGCAGTGGTGGGAGTCCTGACTCTCCATTAGGCCTCCGCTGACACCACCCCAGTGTCTCATTACTGCTGGGGAGAGGTCAAAATCCAGGATGCTGTCATGGTCTTTACTGAAACTGCAGTTAAAAGTGAGGGGATAGAGAAACACCCAGCAAAGGGATGTCAAAAGGAAGCCGGACTAGCAGTACTTAGACAAACTAGACTGTAACAAGAGACAAGGACATTATATAATAATAAAGGGGACAATCCAACAAGAAGATATAACAGCTGTAAGTATTTATGCACCCAACATGGTAGCACCCAAATACATTAAACAGTTAATAACAAACATAAAGGAATTAATCGGTAGTAATACGATAATAGTAGAGAACTTAAACCCCTACTTAACATCAATGGACAGATCATCCAAACAGAAAATCAGCATGGAAACAATGACACACTGGACCAGGTGAATTTAACAGGTATATTCAGAACATCCCATCCTAAAACAGCAGAATATATATTCAAGTGTACATGGAATACTCTCCACTACAGATCAAATATCAGTTCACAAAAGAAGTCTCAACAAATTAAACAAGATCTAAGTCACACCATTCATCTTTTCTTCTTATTTTTTATTTTAATTCCTGATAGTTAACATACAGTGTTCTATTTGTTTCAGGTGTACAGTATTATGATTTGTCAATTCCATACATCATCTAGTGCTCATCACAACAATTGCACTCCTTAATCCCCATCACATATTTCACCCATCCCCCCCACCTCCCTTCTGGTAACCATCAGTTTGTTCTCTTTAGTTAACAATCTATTTCTTACCTTGTCTCTCTTTCCCTTTGCTTGTCTCTTCTGTTTCATAAATTCCATATATGCGTGAAATCATATGGTATTTGTCTTTCTCTGACTTATTTCACTTAGCATTATAGTCTCTAATTCCATCCATGTTGTTGCAATTGTCATTATTTCGTTTCTTTTACTGGCTGAATAATATTTCATTGTGTGTATACATACATACCACTTCTTCTTTATCTATTTACAATTGATGTACACTTGTGCTGCTTCCATATCTTAGCTATTGAAAATAATGGTGCTATAAACATTGTGGTGCATGTATTCCTTTGAATTAGTGTTTTCGTATTCTTTGGGTAAATACCCAGTAGTGCAATTGCTGGGTCCTATGGAAGTTCTAATTTTAACTTTTTGAGGAACCTACCATACTGTTTTCTACAGTGGCTGCACCACTAGGCATTACCACCAACAGTTCAGGAGGGTTCCTTTTTCTCCACATTCTTGCTAACACTTGTTGTTTCCTGTGTTGTTGATTTTAGCCATTCTGACAGGCGTGAGGTGGTATCTCATTGTGGTTTTGATTTGCATTTCCCTGATGGTGAGTGATG